CTTGTAGTTGCTGGAAGAACGTCAATTAATGTCTGCAGCAATACACTACAGTTTTAAAAGCGTGGCAAACACAAGTGTTTCTCAGAAATTAAAAAAGCAATATCCACAGCAAAATGACATTTTAGAATACCTTGCCAGTCCACCCACATCAGGCCATCTATAAGATTCTTATAAAGCCTAATTAGTATCACAACTATTGCTTCCTGTTTGTTGCTGTCCATACCAAGTTTTATAAGCTTTCTGCTGTCCATTCTTCCCTTTTCTGCAATTACAAATGGGAACCTACAACTAGCTTATCTTGAGTGACATGAAAACAAAATGAACCTAGAGAAACAGAAAAAGAGGAAAAGAAAACCACTTTTCATATTCACTTGCATCCATTATGAATACCTATATTAAAAAAAAGTCTCATTTGGCTCACATACAAGTAAATAGCTAAGGTGGAATCAAAGGAACAAAGTGTTTAAAGCACTCTGAATGTCAAAAATAATATTACCAGCTTTCAATAAAAAATTCAAATGAAATCTACTTGGCAGTATCCCTTAGGAAAAAAAAAAAAAAAAGGGAGAAAAATACACCATGGAGAAAAATTATCAGCAAAAGACTCATTAATTTTCCAAATGCTACAATTCAGTCCTGTGATTAGCCCCTGCCTAAGCCCATGCCTAGTTTAGTGCAGAACTAAATAGCCTGTGACTCAGGCTATTTTTCCATCACACTGCCTGTCCACAGCACTGCAGTGTATCTGCAGTTTTCACTGGCTTCAGTAAGCAAGACACACTTCACTACCCAGGAGCTGGCCCAGAGAATGCTCTGCCCTGAGTGACTGAAACAATGTACAAAGTTTTGAAGAAACACGGTCAGTTCAGGGTATATTTTGCCACAGGCAGAACATGCTTTCTGTTTGTTTCAGAAACTCTCAAGACCAGATTCAAAGAAATACATGGAACCAACTAAAAGTACTGAGTCAGAGGAAAAGACCGCCAAAAAGAAAGATACTTATTCCCAAGCATAATATCCAAATTTTATTTTCTCTAGCCACTTTTACATCACTGGCACTTTGTTAATCTACAGCTTCTCATTTAAGAAAGAAATTAAACTCTTATACAATATTTGCAGATTGTTTTGATCAGCATTGAACTTCTCATTCTAGACTCCTGAAACATTTTTTTTGTTATGTTTGGCATTTCTGCTGAAGTATCCTGCTTTCCTGACAGGATCAGATACCACCTTGTTATTCACATAGTCACGTTCTCTTTTTACCTTCTTTAGTTTTCAGAGTCATAAATTCCCATTTTCATTTAAGGAACAATGAGAAGAATAAAATAACAGCACTTATAAGAAAGTTACAACAGCTCATTAGATAAAAGCTCACAGAAACAATCTAACATAAATATTCCACTCAATACTTGGCCTACATTTTTAGGACATGGCTCAGGCAGACAAGGTTGTTTTTCCCATAACTTTTCTTGAAAAGACTGACAAACATGTGCAGACAGCAATATTGACACAAGAATGCATCAGAAGCTGGTCTTGGTAATGTCCACCAAAAAATCCTGAATCCAGAAGCAGGTGTCCACCCAAAGCCTGACACTCATAGGTATAGTCTCTAAGCCAACTAATGCTTTAGGTCCCTTGCTTGCTTCTCTCTTCCATTTCAAAACTTTCTTCTTGCTGGGATGCTGCCTGTTTCTGACCTATTATCAACCAGAGACAACAGCATAACTGCACAGACAAGTTAAAAGGTGGACAAAAAGCTACTTAAGTTGGCATTACCATAGCAAGATTGATCATCAATTAAACTCAAGTTTTTTACATGACCAGCAATTTGGAGCTCCTGGGTCAGTGGCATTATCCACACAGAAACTGAAATCCCTTACAGTCAGCCAAGGTCATTTTCAGCAAATGTTCCCAACCAACTTTGCCTTGACTGACATCCCAAATAAACTGGAAATAGAAATGCTGGCAGCCTTCAACATTCTTCACCTCCTAAAATATTGTTCAGTGAAAAAAACCCTTTTTAGTTTAATGTTTGTCCTTTTAAGACATCTTAAACAACCACTAACACAAGCAATGTTTCATTTGCTACTGCATATTGGTCCAGCTTCTGTCCATCTCTTCAGTGCTGATAACCTAAAGATCTTGCAAGATAAAAATTAATCTTTGAAAAGCCCAAATACAGATTACACTCTTGTGTTTATAACAATAACGCTATTTAATTCTTAATTATGCACAGATAATGGAACATGTGTTTTTATCTAATATTGATATTTCATCAGTGGCTGGACTTAATCTTAAAGGTCTTCTCCAACCTAAATGACACTATAATTTATATATAGTATAAATACATAAGCTGTATACAAGAACAAGAATACAAGGAAATATCTGTCTCCAAAAACTAATCATAGCTGATTTATAAACAAGAAGAGAAGTCTATTGAAAGTGAGCAGTCTATTGAAGTTTACTTACAAAGCTTCATACTGGGACTTACTCATAAACAGTATCAAAAGCAGTAAGCCTGATTAACGATTTCCTTTCCCACGTGGATGCATGAACTTCTCTGAATGTTTATTTCTTCTGTCTTATATTTGAAAGCACTTGATTAATTCTTAAAACTAAACCACTAAAGAAACAGTTCCTTTGACTTGTCTTTGATCTAATGTAATAACTCCAGCAGCTTCATTAATCTAATGATTAAGTCTGCAACTAGGTAGCTCCTCAGTGTTTTAAGGTAGAATGTGTAGACTCTGGTCTTCATTCTGTAACTACAGCACAGTCTTTCTTTTTTAGCATGTGAAGTTGTTCTAAGGTTATCTGGCTTCAGCAATTCAGAACTATTTTTCTGTTTCTCTCCTCTTTAACCCACTTTATTCAATAAAACTATTCTGAATATTTTCAACTTACTTCTAATGTTTTTTGCTTCCTAGTGTCCAAATAAATTTGTAACTCTCAATGCAAACAGTTGCAAAACAATGCCAAAGTTATTTTGGAAACCTCTGAATCCATCTTCTAAAGGAAATATAACTCATGTTAGTGTTCATAAATGTCACCTAAATCACAATCTCAAACCTAAAATTTTAAACCAAAATTTAGATACCAATAAAATGTACTATGGTGCCTTTCATTTGATACGCCACAGTGCTTTCTATATACTGACCTATTTACGCTCCTCTGAATACTTTATCTACACACTATAGTAAATACATAAAGTAGAAGAGTTTTCAACTTATTGCTATCTCTCCCAGACATTTTATTAGATGCTTGCTAAATATTCAACCATAATATACATAGTTATGTCAGTGGTTAGGAGATGAAAGCCTACATTACTTCACTCAGGAAATGAAGTGCAGGTTTCGGTCCTTTCATTGCAATATCCTTCAGTGCATGGATCAGAAATGCTTTTGCACTGAATTGTTCAGCGAGTGATGCAATGGCTTACACAGCTAAGCCACTGTATGATTTCTAAGGCCACAGGGTTAATACATAGTGATAAACTATTCAGTTATAATTGTAGCTTTCATGCCAGTTTAATTGAATACCATGAATATTATACAGTTAAAACGCACTCTGTTATTTAGCAGAAATTTGAATTTTGATTCCCCTGAAATCTAAGTGATTCAACATGTATTAAAGTATATTATCTCGCAGCACAACTCAAATCCACAGGAATTTTAACATTGATTAAATTAACCCAAATATGCTGGGGAGTAAGAAAGGTGGGAAATCTGCAGGAAGGCTGTACATAAAGAAGTGTCATCTCATAGAAGACAACTGTCCAGTCACCAGTTCTCCATTTTAGTGAAATGTAAGCAAAGATTTCAAGAGGATAATTTTCCCAAAGATACCACTTCAATTCTATTTCTTTCCCCAACATAAATGATAATAACATGATGGAAGAGTTTTAATTTCAGGTTTGAGTTTTCTAAGATCACTAATGGTTCTTAAGATCATTAGTGTGTGGTAAGGTAATCTTAAGGCATAGAAGGAAAAGGATTAGTGAGACCATTTTTTATGATCTGCAATACAACACAGGGTGAAAGACTTCTCTGAATAACAGCAATCCTGACTTCCTGCATTAAGAACTCTGGGACAACTTTCTACGATGTCATCAAGACAGCATGAGTCTTCCACATGAAAAGCTAGCCCACAATAAACAAACTATGTAATAACAAAGACTCCAGTGCTAGAATGCTATCAAATACCAATGTTGCAGCTGCCCACATTGCAGTGTAATAATGTGAAACATAAATGAGAGGTGTAACAATCAAATCTAAACAGTTACATGACTGAATTTCCCCAGATCAAAGTATCTTTGATACCTGTGAATTTCACCTTACCACAAGGAAAAACAGAAATTGAAACTTAAGGTAATATGTAAAAGGCCCATTTACATATCAAAGCCACATTTACTAATTTCCACATGGAGTAATTCCTATATATTTAAATTAAGAATGTATTTTGATAGTAATACAATCTTTATTTAAAAATTTTAAATAACAGCAAACCTAGCTATGTTGTTAGGACAGTTTTGCCTACACAGTTTCAGTCTAGGAATAAGTTTTGGATCCTAATGACAATATGCTGTTATTTCTTATGTGATATATTTTCTCTACATAAAGTGTCTTTACAGTTGTTATCAATGCATTAATTCCTGACAGTTACAGATGATTTTAGGTATTCCTGGGTTGAGTCCTCATCACTAACATTTTTGAAAAGCTAAGTTACAACAGTGAACTCAGTCTTGAGTCAAATTACCAGGAAACTTTCCCAAGACCCTTTTGGCATTCTGTAAAGCCAACATTTCACTATTGGTGTGCATCCCCTCCTCTTCTCTAGATACAATTGAGATTTTGTGTTTTCTAAGTCACATCAAAAATAGATTAAGCACTGGATAAAAATAGCTAAAACTTTTAAATTGTTTCCTGTAATTGTACATTTTCCCTTTTGAACTTGCATCTTCAGAGGATAGACATTTATGCCTGAGGCAAAGTGTTACTCACTGTGAACAAGGAAGCAAAAATCTTTCCACATCAGCAACAGAGTAAGCTTTGTGAATCCTTCTGCATCATATTCCACCACACCACTATCAACAAAAACACAACAAAAAAAAAAATGAATACAGTTTTTGCCTTCAAATACTGGATAATGAATATGTAAATTTTGTAATACAGGGATTGTTATTTTTGTTAGTTTGTTCAGAATTTTCCAGGATTTGCTTTTTTTATAAACAGTTACAATTTTCTAGCTAATTGTAAATTAGATTAAACTTTTAATCTCAGTAATTGTCTTAATTATCCTGTGGAATTGGAGGTTTTTACCCAAAGGAAAGACATTTTCAGTTTAAAATATACTTTTGAATGAAAGGAGACCTGGTACCACATCTTCAGTGCTAAATTGTTAAAAACTGTAGACACACAAATTCCCTGTACCCAAATTAAGATTCTTTTTCACTTCTGTAGTGAGTGAGGGGGTAAAACGGAAAATAAGGCTGTGAAGAGTTTAAATTTGAAAATTTTGAAGAGTATATATAAAAAATACAAAACATGAGATAATAACAAAAAATTCCATATAGAATACTTGTTTGATAGATGGATTAAAAGTTTCAGCCATCAGAAGCTGGTATTCTGTAAGTCTGAAGCAGTATCAGAACTCATAAACAACAATGCAAATATCATATAGTCATAGGCACACGTGGCCCTTTTTATAATATAATTTTCTCAGAAGAAAAGGAAATATCTTGGTAAAAATTAAGCTTGCACTGACTGTCTACTCACACATCCAGTTGAAGTTATTGTTATCTTTTTATCACTGTGTTAAATTTGGGTGCATGTTAGAAGTCACCTGTTTTCCTAACCTCACTTGAGAGACCTGAGATTTGAAGGGCTCCCGAATATCCACGTCAGTGGCATCACCTCTTGGAAGCACAGACCCCTCATAACAACTAGCTGAAGGCTTGGACTCTGGCTCAATTTAGGCAGGAAACCAAAGTGCCAACCCTTCATAGTGCCATGTCTGCCCTGATTAATTGATTTGTGAAGCTAATGTGCTATCATTCCTGGCCATGCACCTTTCATCTGCAGGAATGCAACATGATCCAAGAGCCTCTTCTCTTGAGAGACAGAGTACAGGTTGTTGGTGGGAACAGCTGTCTCCCAGCCCTGCCTTTACACTGAGCAGCAGCTTCTGGCTCTTGCAATGCTTGGAACCACACCTGCTTCCCCATTTTCCCACCTCAGTTACTGCCTGTTAGTGAAAGACCCCTTAAGTAATTTATTCAGAAACAAATATACTTCTTCTGCATAAGGAAAATCCCTACTGTCCCTTTCCCATCATCACCTATTTTCTAGAAAAATCAGATTGGCCATTGGCACAGAAGCAAAATAATGCTGAAGTACTTTCCAGTATTGTTACAGAGAGACAACCTGTACACGTAATTCTGTGAAAAATGACTAGATTTCATCTCATCCAGTGGACAGCAGCCACACAACCACAAACCATATGCAGAAAATGAGTTTCCCCCACACAACAGAAAAATATGCATCAGAAGAAAACTTACGTTCCGAAATGACTCAGGAAAGCTGCAATGTACTCTCTTCGCTTATGGTATCCCTGAATAACATATTGTACCTTAAAAAAGAAAGAAAACAAATCCAGATCTATATAAAGATTAAAAAACCCAAAGCCCAGTTTGTCATATATTTCTTGTTAAGGAAGATTTATGTTTGACATGGTAGAAGTTCTGAATCCTACATTTAGCATGATTTCCCTAAAGAATCCTGAAACGCCTTTAAAACAGACTCTGGACGTTGCACACAGAATATCTTGTAAAGAAATCTCTTCAATCATGTCTGAGTAAAAGTTAAGTCTTTCACAATAGACTGAAGTGCTGTTTAACTGCACAAGACAAAGACTGAAAGAAAGAAATGCTCAGCGTTGCCTTACAGAAGTTTGAGTAGAAATCTGTGATAGCAAATCAGTTATCTGAACTGACACTAAGATAAGTGTCAAAATAACATTCTGGTTATAAAAGAGAAGAAAAAATTAAATTTCTTGCACAACTGATCTTGGGTGTTTTCTGAAGACTGCACCTCCAACAAAATCTTCTGAACACTAAGCTCTTTCACTGGTTTCATGCTGACTCAGGGAGCCACCTACTCAACTACGAGCAACAGTTTCTGAGGTACTCTGGGTTTTGAAAGACTTCTATCCTGGCACAGAGAAAATCCAACAATTCTAAATTTGGAGACTTAAGGCAAAATTCTCCTCACACCATGTAGGTTTTCTCATTCATTTGGGCGGCATCACTTAAGAGAACGGTGTGAGCAGGGTTTGACCCATAACAAAACCAATGCCTGTGTCACCAGGCTGCAAGGACATCTGGTTTACAACTGGTGACTTGGAAGTACTTATGGTATGGTTCTATATGTGATTCTCCATGTAAATTCCTTTGCTTTCCAGAATAAAAACTAGCATTTAGGAACATTTTCTCCTTCACTGAAAAGAACAGGAAGAGTATTTTCTTGGCTATGGCAATACTAACATTCCTTGGCTGGCAAATGCTTTCCTAAAATTACTGAAAAAGTCTTGATACAACCATTGCTGAGAGCTGCCTTGTATAACTTAAATACTATTTATAAGCTCAAACATTGTATTTTGTAAAACACTAAGATTATTTTGAAGGCTTTGTGTAGGATCTGAAATGTTATTTTGGGAAGAGGAAAACATATGATAAGTTTGCTGAAGCAACTTCGTTTAAGAAAGGATAAAAACAGCCCAGTGTACTTGCAGATTTTAAAAACAGAAAGTAATTTTAAAACCACAACAAAAACAACTCTAATGATAGATTCCAGAGTAATTATGAAAATACATTCTGAAGAAACTATTTCTAAAAGATAAAATTATTCTCTTCATTTAGACAATTGAAGGTAAAAATAATATACAAATAGGAAATCTGTAATAGGTAAATTTCTAAATGTTGACCCCTAAGCCTTCTTTAGAAAATTATACTTAAATAATGGCAAAACTTTCAAAATACTATAATCCTTCTTTTTTGTTTAAACAGTAAGCTAACTGGAACACAACCTTTTCAGCAACCTTAAGTAGCTATTACTGTATAAACATCCCAAGAAACTGCTGATTCAGTTCATTTGGATGAAACATCTGAGCATAAAAATCATGGAAAGTACTCAAAACCTACAATAATGACTGGGGTATGAGAACTTGCAACTAGAACAATAATATGCAAATTACACATCTGTATTTACTAAAAAACAGTATACTGCAATGCAGTGTTGTACAATGCAATAACATTTTATCCTAGATAATAACATGTCACAGTAAGAAAAAAACTCCTCTGGGATCTAATCCCAAACTCACTTGTTTACCTAAAGGAGTCATTCCATTCAGTGTCATGCTCAGGTGCTCAGCTCTTACCAAGAAGGTATTCCCTGTGTAGTTCAGCCTAAGTATGCCTTGCTTTGCATACCTGGCAGAAGAATAATGATGTCTGTGAAAATGCAGCATAGTGCATAAGGGAAAGGAAAACTGCTTGTCTGCAGCAGCTTACCTTGTTAGTTAGGAGCTGGCATACTTGGGGTACATAGTCGATGAGACAGCCTCCACCAGGAAAGGCTGGGATGTGAAGGGCAGAGGATCCTCCAAGTGCACTAGAAAAATAATTTAAGAATGCATTACATGTACAGCCCCTGAGATTTGAAAATTATTTCTGCACAGTCCTCTTTCCCTATTCTTGAAGTCAGATGGCCAAAAGGAAGTGTATTTTATGCTGTGGTGATAATGAAAGTATTGAGCGATACCATCTATAAAACAGGTTATACCATGACCCACTGTAAACTAACCACTTAAATCAAGAGTATCACTAACGCAAAACATTCTCTCAGGAAATAGCTTTTTCATCGTGAACAGTTCTGCTTCTTAGCCCTCATCAGTAAGATGTGGAGTACTGTAGTTCAGACATCTTGTTAGTGGGGGAGGAGAGGACCTGAAGTCCTCAGCTATTCCAAAATCCACCTTCAAACCAGCTAAGAATAATCAAAATAATTGGGACTGAGGAGGCATAGATGGCCGGATGCAAATATCAATCATGTCATCTATTCCAGTTTTGGATTTCCCAATAGAACACAGATGTTAACCTACTAAATCAAGGGGGGAGTGGGTCAGAAAGATTATCAGGTACATGATGATGTAAGAAGGATGCTGAAATAAATGGATTTGTTCAGTCTTCAGACAACACTGCAGAGGGAGGATACTGAGAAGGGAAGTAGAAAGCATATTGATGTCTTCAATTATCTAATGAAAATTATAGAGATGGTGGAGTTTGAGGCTTCTCTGAAGTGGGACTCAGTGGTGCTATGTCCTTGGAGGTGCTCAAAGCTCAGCTGAACAACAGGGGCTAAAAGCTCTGAGGAGTGCCTTGGCCAGATAAGCTCCTTCTTGCCAATCTACATTGGCTTATGATTATAGTCTATGATTCTATGATTTTGTTCATTCCCAGTAGGAAATGACAAAAAAAAAGGATATTAATTCTGTCCATGCACATACTGGACATTTGAATGGTAGGAAATCACAGAAATAAGGTAACTTCAGAGATGTATTTAGGCAGCTTAACCATTTGCCTCTATCAAAGGACAGAAGACTGAAGCACACCTGCTATTACTCAGAATAATGGCTTCTTTGGTGTGGAAAGATCTAACACTTATTTAAATCAGGCTGTATAAGGCAACAACTAAGTAAAGTCCATGCTACTTCCTTCTAGCAGTACTGACCTAAATCTTTCTTTATAGTCCCTTACCGAATAAAAATTTGCATTACATACTGTGGATTACATCATTCACTAACCATCCAGAACCAACTTGGACACCATAAAATGCTTCAAGAGCTAATTTACTTTGTGTGGCCTCCTGTTTACATGCTGTTTCCATGACAAATTACACTGGCTAGAAAGAAAAGTTCTTCTCTGCAAAACAAGTCTTTTACTCTCCTACAGGATCTGGCCTCTTATTTTCCTCACTACTTGATAAGAAACCACTTTGGTAGGTATAAAGGTCTACAGTCATGCATCCCTTTGAAGGAACAGAGACTACATAAATCAAAAAAATCCCAAACTCATAATGAGGTATATGGAAATCTGCTACTCAGGCAAAACAGTCTGGGTTTAGCAGACTGTTCACCACATGGAACAGTTCTGCAGGTCTGGATTTTGCATATGCAATGATGAGAAAAAAAAGTCTTGAGTACACCACAGCTACATAAAAAAACAAACAAACTTTTCTAGCAGAAGTAAGACTTGAATGGGATTTTTTTTAAACAGAATTCAGTTTCCTTGCTACTACCCCCTTACTAAAATTATTCACACAAGAATATAATTTTGCAACTTGTGGATGGTTGAAAGCACTGAAGTATGACTAAGATGATTAGAAAGTTGGAACATTTCTGAAACAATATGTTCTTACAAAATTGTAGTATAGCGGGTCCACTGATCTGTAACATTGGAGAATGGAAAACTTGACCTCTGGTATTGTAGAAGTGGGTTGTGAACCTTACTTTAGGACCCTGACTTCCAGTTTATTTGACTCCTTACATATTATTAAATATATCCATAAAAGCCTCCAATCTCATACACAGAGCAGCTGGTACTGTCCATTTTGCATCCTGCCTTGCTTCATTTGACACCAAGTCCAAGTTCCCTTGCAGCACGGACATAGCACTGAAGATGCTCAGATGACTACAACAGGAATTACTGGTTTCTCTCCCAGTTACAATAGCAGGTATGAAATTAGGAGTCATCTCTAACAGACTACACATGCAAAAAAAAGCTTCCACTCCTATATCATCATCTTACAATACATCTTCCAGATGGAATTATTATGATTTGTGAGAAAGGGTTTCCCATTTTACCTCTATCCATCTTTTGAAAGTAGCCATCCCGTAAAAACGTGTTGACATAAATGGAAATCCAGCCCTTCTCAAATGAAAAACAGACTGCTAAAAGGTGTGGTTTCTGAGAAAGAGGTCCCTCCACAGAAAAAAGGCTGGAATTTCTAGTATAATTATCCTCTGAAAACAGAATAAAGCTGTACCATCTGTAATTTATATTCTGTAGAAATAATTATGGGTAGGGAAAATTAAGAGTGGACAGGCGTCTCTGTTCCCTCTATTAGGTCAGAGATTCTGCTTATTAAATATTTTAATAAAATACTGCATTTGCACAGGACCTTGCATATGACCATCTCAAAACTGTGTATAAACATTTAGCAATTAAGATTCATTTGCCTCATTAAACTGATATTTACCTTTTATTTTTAAACAGGTGAAGAAGCTCGAAGTTTGATTTGACTGTGCTGTACTACAAATGTCTGTCATGTTAAAGGAACATATTTGCCACATCTCACAACCCTGAGACCAGGCAAGAGGCCATAAAAATTAATTTGACTTATAATAAACATGCAACTGAAGAAAGCAGAGACTTCCACAATGCCAAAGAAGGACCTGTAAAGGGTGCAAAATGGAGACAACTGGGCAAGGGAATGTCACCACGCAGCTCAATATCTAAGGCTGCTTTTTGAGGTACCTCACAGTCCAATCAAAAGAAAAAGTGCCAAACAAAGTGCTATAAGTGCTTTTATAGTGAAGGGCATTCCATTTGGCAAAGTATTTCACCAGCACGAGCTAAAGATTGCTGCATGTCAAATCTGCTTTCCAGATAGTTGGGCCTCGGAGCACAGATCTTAAACACTTCTGTTTGCAATCAAGCTTTCCTTCTCAGTATCAGTGCTATACACCCCTTACAAAAAAAAAACCAACAACAACAACAACAAAAAAAAACCTCCCACGTTCATTTTATCACATCAACAAAAAATGTTAAACAAAATCATCAAGAGATATGAGGAAGCACAGACAATTGCTCCCCTACAGCTGCCAGAGTAAGGTTAGTTTCAGTACAATCAATTGAATTGTGTTTGATTTTTACACTGTTTTTTCCAATAAACTGCTATTTTTAAAAGGCTAGAATTCAAACAGTCTGTTATTTTCTGTAATTTTAACAATTCATGAAGCAACAGTCTTAGGGAATGCTTTTTCATTTTGACTAGTACCAGATGAAGATTAAATACATGGCAGATCTACCTGTCTCAGAGATAAGGTTATACAAACATGCTGGAACAAAGACCTGTTGGCCTCAGAATTTTATTTGCTTTCTCTTACTCTAAGCCTTCTCAGCTCTGCAAATCAACCTCATACATCTCATTTTAAGACAGAGCAGAGGCTCCTTGCAGTAAGATCCTGTCCTCCTGGATGTCCAGAGTCAGTCACAATGTGATCTGATCCATGGTCTGGAAATTAAATTGCATTTTGTGAGGAACTCACTACTGAATTCAACAAGTGCAGCAGTCAGTCAGCATTAATACAAGTTTTGTTCTGTGACATGCTGAAATACAAGTTCAGAAAGCATAGCTGGAGTATGTTTACATTTCTGCTGTTGACTGGTGCATTCCAAGTGACTTGCTCTGTCTCTCAATGGATCTATTTATTCAGACCAACATACAAAATGCAAAATTCTACCACATTTTTTGATAACTTATAATTAATTAAAATGTCTTTCTCCAGAAATCATCCTCAATAAATGGCTTAGCATTAATTCACAAGTTTAGAGAAGTGACTGTTTTTGTTCCTGAGTATTTAAAGGTAAAGAACCAGTTATTTACCCATCACTTCATTAGGGAAGAAGGGTACTTGCAAGTTTCAAGCTCAGAAGACTGAATGCTTTAGCAAGGAACACTTACAGGCCTGTAGAGAGATGCTCTTACTCCTATCTCTACCCCCTTCCCTACAGCTCTTGGGCCTGCCTAATTCCCCTAAACTCCTTCATTCTCACCACCTCTTCTCTGCCGTTCATTTTGCTTCCCTCTCTCTCCAAAGAGAAAAAAAAATACAGGTTTCTCTAGACTGCTGAGAAACTCTTGAGCTAAGTCTGAAAAATGAGTATTATTTCAGACCACTCTCTACATCACAGTTTAAAGAGTTAACACAGGTTATGCTACTACAGCTAAGGACCTATGCACATATAATACAGTTTACATATTGTGCTCCCCCCTTACCTGTTCCTATTCTCCATTTTCAAAAATTGCATAAGCTTTTCTGTGAAACAAATATCACAAAGAAAAGAGCATCAACAGAAAAGCTATACTGTTAAAAGGAGGTACCTTTCTTGATAGGAGTTTTTTTTAGGGAGAGTAGAAAATGTGTATTTAGGTGAGGAGATTCAGAACTGTAAAAATCATCCTTATCCTGAATACAGTGTGATATAGCATTAAACAGCTTTATACCAAAATAAATTGGTACATAATATTGACTGCACTCAACATTCCTAACTCAAATATATTCTTTCTGCAAAACACACAGAAAACAGGGAAAAGACAAGTTCAATGATTGTGAATGATGGAGTTATAGATTCATCTAACTTTGCAAATGTAAACAATTGCCTCTGAGTGGAAAGACCTTTTATATGGGTTTAATTATGAGCTTTTCTGTCAGCGTGGCCAGTGTTAAAGCATTGTCAAATCTATGTACCAGTGATGGAAAGTAGACTTTACACTTTATAGACTAAAGCCCTTTATTTTACCAAGATTGGTAAAATTACCTTTTTAAC